TTGCTCATCCTGGGAATTGTGGGAAAAAAATTCACATTTTGGGGGATACTAAGAAACATTTTTCCAAAGTAGTTTGATTAAGAATTATGGCAATTGTTTGTAAATCCCTCGGTAGTTGCAAAGTCATAATAAATCCTTAAGAGATGGATTAGTGAGCAGAAGGCAGACCAAAGGTGCATAGTAAATTCATTTATCTCATGACTCGAGGGCATACCAGAATGGTATAATCTTTCTGTAGGTGATATATGCACTTATTAAAATGAATAAATAAATCAAAACTAGTCCTTTAAATAGAGCACAGTAAAGAATGTGATCAAATAATAGAGCATTATATTACAGAACTACTGAGAAGTTTGGCCTCAGGCTAATGTTTCAGGTTGGCTAAACCAGAAGATAGAATTCTTTTAACATAAAATAAAAAAAATGTGATTATAGAGCAATGTCTGTCTTGGATCATGACAACCCTGTGGCCTCCGTAGTATGACATTACAGCATACTGAGTTTCAAATTTGGTTTCGAGCTAGTTAGCCTGTAGGCTTCAAGGTCTGATGGAAAGTGTTTAGATATTTTTCATATTTCAGTAATAGCATTTAAAAATAGATTATATCATGGCAGTATTCTCTCTTTAGATCATTTAAGTGGCTGTAATAACAAATATTCCTTATAATAGCCTCAGTTCTGTATCTATGGGCAACTAAAAACATCAGAGATTTTCACAAAAACAATGCAATTGTTATAATACTGAGGAGATTTTTGAATAGGTGTATATATAGAGATTGTTAGCTTGCAACCTAATTTTTCCCTCTGCTACAAGTTTAAGTAGTTCCTTGGTAACCAGAATTAATGACTAAAGCCAGCTAATACAATAACTAGTTTTGTTCAAAGGCAATGAAAACTCTCCAAACTACATAGTTCACAAAATATAAAGAATTTCACGTCACTTGGGGTCAAAGTTGACCCTAGAAAAGCAGAAGTTCTTAAAAAAAAAAATCTTTGTGGATGTCAACGAGTAGTTGACTAGACAATTAACTGATAAGCTTATTGGTTTCTGTGCGGCCTCTTTATCAGAGGCAGCAAGGGGGGGAAGCAGGAGCCGGTGCTGCCTGCCCTACCTCCGCAGTACTGCTGGACAATGGGGAGCAGGGGAGGTGGCTCTGGAAGATGAGAAGCGGCCTCCGTCCATGTTACGCTCAGACTCCCATCATGGATAGAGGCTGCTGCCACCCAACAGCACCCAGTGTGTGAGGGGAGCCAGTTTTTAAACTGGATCCCCTCATGGACCGGCTCCCCCTGACTGTGAGGCAGCAGCCTGGGATGGCAAGAGGCTCCCCGGGAGTGGGGCTGGTAGCTCACTGACTGTTGGCTCCACCCCCGGGGACTATCAATTTCATGCAGTTACACAACTATTCAATTACCTGATATCTAACATCCCCTA